CACACTGTTGCACATAGTATTGGCCCAGACCTTAGAGCCTGAAAGTTATGGGCTTTGAAAACGGAGACTTTACACCCTGCACATTTTGTGTCATCTGATAGATGTTTACTTGTATAAAGGTAAGAGACTGACTGTTCATTTCAGAAATCTGCTCAGGTGTCCCAAGCCAGGAATTTGAAAGATCTCTGTGGGAATCCCACAAGCTGAGGGGACCTGTCAGATTGTACAACAGCAAAATGGCCAAGAGCTTTTTCAGAAGCCCTGGGGCTCTTTCATTAGGACTGTGGCAGCTCAGTCTATGTCACTGCATTGATGAGTATATGGAATGGTTGAGTTGGAAAGCATAAATGCCTATAACACCTATATGATCGGAAATGGATTGATTTTGTTGTTGGATCAGGATGGAAGTAATGTCATAGCCAAGCAAATATGTATTCTAGATGCATGCCCTCTGGATGGTGGGGAATAAACAACTTATCAGTAATTAAACCAGTAACAATGCAAACCAAAGTATTGTATTTTCTTTAAAAAGGCCATTGGGAAAGGTCCTTAAAAAACATGTGATGAAATAGGATGACTATCTGGGCAGGATGAGAATCACTTCTTCCTGTCTACCTTGGACTGACCCACCCAGGGTGGACACAGGGACCATTGAGTGGAAAAGTGAAAGAAACAGGCCCTAACTGAACCATGGCTCTGCAAATAGCACATTGTTAGAACCACTGGGCCACTCATTGAGACATCCCATTGTGAATGCATACTCTGCAGTTCTTGTCTGTGCACCTTCTTGCTGCAATTGAAGAATAAAAGTTCTCAGGGGCATAAAAGCTCTTAACTATATTTTACTCTCTATATTTCAATTATCATGTGACTGTTAAAACCTAGTGTAGGGTAACAACACGACCTATTGTATCTCATTAGTATCCCACTTGTTTCAACTAGATTTAGAAGATGTTAATAAAAAGTAATATTTACATGTCTCAGTGGACAAAGCCGTTTAACAAACACGAATTCATATTTCCCATTCAACATAAGCTTAAGTTCAAGTATATCAATTTAAACTACATCTATAACTGACAAATTAGACACATCTTGACTCTAAAAGCACCTGTAATTTGATTGCTAGAGCTCCCTGGGATATTAGAAAAGACTCTCGCAGTTGCCTCTACAGACTAAAAGTCTGGTCAGGATTAGTCTGTGAAATACCGTGTAAGAAGCTGTGTATCATAATCTCCTATATATGTAGATGGCTTTCCTTTCATGCACCTAATCTGCGAGGGCTCAGAGAAGGAGATTTGCCTGACCCACAGGAGCCAAGGACATTATAAAGGCAGAACTCAAACCTGCATCCCCTCACCCCAAGCCCTTGGCTCTCCCCGGCGCCCCTGGTTACATTCTGGTTTTAACTTGTTGCTAAGGTCAAAAAGGTGAGGTCTCGTGACAGTTGAAAGGTGTGGCTAACTAGCGAGCAAAGCTAGTTTGGGTGCAGCCAACCCAGAATCATCAGAAAGTGCACCGGAAAGAATCTTTCTACTGAGTGATAGATCCTAGGGATGGGTGCGAGTGTCCTCCCTGCACTAGACAGAACGGACCCAGCCCCCATGGAGCTCTCATTACAGCAGAGGTAGATAAGTAAATAAAATTATTAAAGATTTTTCCATCTTACCTGAAGGGTTGGAGATAGCCCTTAAGAAATGGCAGTCAGAGAAGTAGGCATCTCTCTGGGGAGGTGGCATTTGATCTGAAACAAAGGATGACAGGTGCAGGTTGAAGAGGAAGATGAGGATGGAGAGAGGGGCAGAGGCAACTCCTGCAAGTTTGGATTTTATTCCGGGGTCAAGGGAAAACAACCATTGAAGGGTTTTAATCAGGGAAGTGATAGGATTAGACTTATCTAGATCTATATTTAGATGGATAGAGACAAAGGATGTATGGATGGGCAGATAGACTTGAGAGATTTGATAAATGTTTAAATGGCTGTTGGTTTGAAGGGGTAAGAGTTGACCAAAGGAAGTGAGATGTAAGGCTAAGTTGGTTTTGATGAACTACTAGGGGTTTATGGTGTGCATGGATGGGATGTGGGGACATAGAGAACATCGTGGCCTGATTGTAGCACTGCCCCACCACCCCCCTCCCTTGGCCAGGGATGGCTGGAGGATGAGCACAGGGCAGGTCAGCTCCCAGCACGGCCATCCTATGACATTTAACCATCACTCCCACTGAGGTCCCAGGGAATCACTGCTCTGCCTTTGGGCTGTGCTCAGCCAACTCTGAGGACATCAGCTTGCTGACGCGCCTGGCATTTCTGCTGCGAAAATAGTGCTCCAGTCCCCATCTTCCCTAATAACCTTGTGTCTAAATTGTAGTGTCACACAAGGGCGTGTTTAGAAATTAGCATTTGAAAAGAAGCCTCCTTGCTTTCAGTTTGAGCTGACATGGTCCCTTTTCCTCTGTGGAAATGAAATTTATTAATCATAATAAAACCATCGGATTCTGAAGGTAGAGGTCACCCTGAGGAGAAAAGGAGCCTGGCTCATTTGCGAAGACTAGTTCAGTGCTGCTGTATTTTCCTTCTGCCTTGGAAGAGAATGCTGCCAAATTATTACCTTGGGTTTTCCACGAAGGTTGAAACAATGCCCAGTGTTATAGCCCAATAAGGATGTACCATTTAAGTATGCAGTAGGAAGAGGTGGGGGCTATGTTTTCATTAAATACCTTCAGACTACCAGTATGTTGTCACCCCAAAAAAGGAAATTATTGCCACAGTAAAACCTGTCCCCAAATTTAAAAAATTGTCCTCAATTTGGATGTTCACATTCATTTTGAAGGAACACTATGCCATGGCCTCACTTAATAAATTCCCAAAGAAAGATTTTCAGTTTGCCTTTGCAGTTTATGTCCTATTCATGTAACCACGTTTGCCAAATGAAAGTGCATTAACAATAACCCTATTCACAGGTTTTTCTCTAGACCCAGGACAGAGTTGTATATCATTTCCTTACCCCTATTAGTATCCACTTCTAGTTAAGCAAGCAGAGACCCAGATCTCATGAGCAACCTCCACGAATATATTATGTCTTCAAAAACTTTATCATCCTTGTCCCCACACACCCTCTGCCTTGGGGTTGACTATTCTTTAGCTTCGCTGAGAGATTTGCCTCAGAAGAGAAACCTCCACTCACATCACTGCTTCTGAGGTTCAGGAGAACACCAGGATGATGCTGGAAGCCTCAGCTAGATTCTTTGAGCTCAGTGCCCCTTTGAAGTGAGGATGTGCCCGGCGCAAGCTTGGTACTATCATTTGTTTTTTTTTTGGGTGGGGGGGTATAACTTGGAGTCTGAGTTTAGAAGGTGGTCCTACACCCAGCTTCCCTCCCCACACTCCATGGCATGAGCGACCAAGGCAGACCTGGCCGCTATTCACCAACCACAGAAAGAAGATGTGAGGAGGAAACAAGATTGGGGAAAAGACAGGAAGGCAAGGGATAAGCACATGCAAATTGGACTATAAGGGATGGGAGTAAGATCAAGGCTGACAGTGCAGACAGACCATTTCTTCCTGCCTTGTTCCTCCATTCTTTAAAAAAATAACAAAAAAGGCAGAGTCAAGAGCTGTTGAAAAGCCGCTCAGATCCCACTGCGTAGCTGGTGCATTCATCCCCCAGCTGCTGTGAGTATTGGTTGCTAATGGAGTACAGCTGCTCCCTTCTCCAGAAAATTGCCCTCTGCCAAAGGGAACCACTTCCACTCAGCGGTGCGCCCCCCCGCCCCTCAGGAAAGCTCACGGCACATGCTTAACTTACAGGGGCTTTAAAACCACTTGCTTCAGAGTCGGGCGGGGCTGACTGTGGTGTGAAACTCTCACAGCATCAGGCTGAAGCTGTTCGTCAGCTCAGACCACATCCTTGCCTATCTTTTCCTCGCTCTGACCTGCTTGTGTCTCTCCTCCTGAGAGCACCTCTTCCATAAATCACCTGCACACGAAACTCCATTCAAGCTCAGCTTCCAGAGAACCGAACCTAAGATTGCCTCTCAGCTTTGATCCGTATCAACACAGCCCTGTTCTAAACCACCTCCAAGAAAATATCCGGCAGGTCAAAGCAGTACAGACAATGCTGGAGAACACACATGCAAATTGCTCCGAGAGAGTCGAGGCTCAGTTCTATCTCGAGCTGTGAACTTGAGCAAGCGACCTTAACCTCTGAACCCTAATTTCTGATTGGCGGCGATGTTCAGTTCCAGACTCCCAGTGCATCTGGTTTCTATCCCTTCTTCCTTTTCATTCTGAAACCTATGCTGGAAGCCATGGCAGTGGAGGGAGGAGGACAGCAGAGATAGAAAAATTTGAAGATGAGTAAATGTCACTAGGATATATTTTCTTCGAACGCCTCCCTTCCCAGAACCTGGCCACAGGTAGAGGAGGAAGCAGTTCGGGGGTAAGAGGCCCCAAAGCAAATCTCTAACTCTTGAGTGGGGTCGGGGGGGTTCCCCCGGCCCTTCCAGGGTTTTTTTCTTTCAATTCCCTTTCTTTTTTCCCTTTTTAGGCCTTTGGCCCCAACTTGCCCGGCCGGTTTGCTTTCCCCTTTTTTGTTCCTTCTTTTCTCGATTGCAACAGCTAAATCAGGAGGAAAAGCCAATCTCCGTTGAGCATTAACATATCCTCTGGGGGCACTGGGCTTCCTAAGACCACTCTTTCAACTTGTTTCTCTTTGCCTATCTCAGTCTCTGAGGTAGCTGCATGAGCAGTGTAGAAAAAGCATTATGGTGGGAAGGGAATATATATATATGTGTGTGTATGTTAAACATACCAATACGACCAGCCACGTTAAATGGATAAAAAAGAAGTGCATTGTGCACAGACGAAATTTTCTCTTGTTTCTTATTCCAAGATAAATAGGGCCCCCTCTACACTGCCTTGGTGTTTTGGATTTTATGATTATCATTACTTTACCTTATAATGGCATGTTACGGATTCGTCTTCACCTATGTTTTCCTTTCAGTTACGGACGAGTTTATGCTGCCGACCCCTACCACCACGCACTTGCTCCAGCCCCCACCTACGGCGTTGGTGCCATGGTGAGTACTGGCTCCTCCTCGTCCTCACTTCTTCCTGCTTCCCTTCCCTTCCCCCAGCTGGGACCTTAGTATGGGTTGACGGTTGATGTCCTCTCACTTTCCCGTAATTGAATTTGTCTCTTGTGCTAACAGCAGCTAAAATGCCACATTAATCCTCCCAGTAAACTTGATAAATGTCTTAATTTCTTGGCAATGTAGTGCATGTAAGTTATTATATTTCTAATTTTGCAAGTCTCACCTAGCGGAGCACTTACCTTAATGGAATAATTAGTCATTTTGATAATTAAATCCATCACTAACAGAATGCAGTGTCAATGCAGAACTTTTTTTTTTCTTTTTTTTTTCCCTCCCTTGCTGCTCATTCACATAGCCCCAAGGTTCCAGCCCCAGCACAGACTTCAGAGGAGCTAAGCTGCACACTTCCAGGCCTCTGCTGTCAGGCAGCTGAGAATCTGACTGCCTCTCCTCCCCTATTACAATTCATGTTTAAAGTCATAGTCGCCCAGGAAAGAAAATAGAGAAAGGGGCACACTGTGTGTGTGTGTACCTAGTACATAAGAAATTAGAAGGAATCAGCTGGGTTTGGGGGTTGTCTTTTGTTTTTCTTTTGGGGGTCTGGGTTTTTGTTTGGGGAAGGGGAGGGGGGAGGGCAAAAATGGGTGGTAAGGGCGGGGTGAATTTGCCTGTACTTGTTCAAACTTCTATGCACTAAAACTCTTCAGTACAGTAAGACGTGCCCATCACGTGAAAAGCATATGCAATCATTACAAAGCTTTGGCATGCAGTTTTCTGCTTGGATCAAGAATATCAGTCCTTATCCTACAAATAAATCCCCCAAGGCATTCATTGGAATCGCCAATACTTCTAGGAAAAGGAAATAGTTAAGTGCCACCACCTCATAGCCATTTAAAGCCATGGCCAGACAATTCCCTGGAGCTTGGTCATAGACATTCAACGACGATTTGGAAACATTGTTTTGCACAAGCTTAATTACATCAAGCAGTTCCTCTGTACAACTCCCTTCTCAAGATCAGATTCCATACAGACTGCTGAGCCAAGTCAAGCTAAGACGTAGATTGAAATTTTCATCCCGACTTTGCGGTCGGCAACTCTGCTTCAACACCTCGTCCGTTTGAGGAATGTGTTGGAAAGGAGAGTTGAATTACTACATTCAGTAAATCTTCTAAATTCAACCTAGAGTGTAGATCGAGCTTCCCCCAAGGGAACATAGGGTTAATTAATCAATCCAAGAAACAAACAAACAAAATGAGACAGTGCAAATCCTTCCATTGTCCAGCTTGTGTCAAGAGTCCTTTTAGCTAAGAGGACTGGCTTAACAGGATTAGGTCTGACAGGGAGTTGCTTTATAAGGAGCTATTGGGGAAGGTCAGGACTGGCCCTATCTTTAGTTCTCCGAGAATGACCTGGGATGGGTAGGGGGTGCCCCCATTTTGGTTGGTTTTGAGTGTCTATTTTTCACATTAGTCTTTTTGATGATCCACATGTTGCAAAAGGAAAATGTAAAAAACACACCCCTCAAATTGCTTTGTTTCAGAATGCTTTTGCACCTTTGACTGATGCCAAGACTAGGAGCCATGCTGATGATGTGGGTCTCGTTCTTTCTTCATTGCAGGCTAGTATATACCGAGGGGGATACAACCGTTTTGCTCCATACTAAATGACAAAACCATAAAAACCTTCCAATGTGGGGAGAAAGGAAGCTTTCCGAGGCCTGAGTATTGCAATACATGCAGTAGTGCATCATTTTAGCGACTCTAAAAAAAAAAAAAAAAATTAAAAATAAAAAGAGGAAAAAATTACATTTTTTATCTTATACCTCAGATATTTTGTTCTGTGTATTTTAATATTGTGGGTCTTTAATTTCTGAAGGTTCCATAGTTTGGTTGCTGGCTGTAGGAGTTTTTGTGGTTGATCTAGAGAGATGCTAGATATGAAAAGAAAAAAAAACTGGTTTAGGGCCATATCCAGAGTGCTATATTATGTAAATGAATTATATATGCTGAAAATTAAGGTACTGGGGGTATCAGCTGTTTGGGAAGAGTGTAAGTGACTATAGTAGTCATTTTTTTTTTTCCTGCATCTGCATTATTTTATTTTGCGAAAGGGGAGGTTGGGAGGGGCTTAGGGGATTGGAATTGGGGTTTGGCTGAAAGAAAAAAAAAATGTAGTAACTGATGAATCTGAACGACCCACTGCACCAACAATCATGTATCAACGGTTCTAAGTTACTCATTGCCAGTTCAAGCCAAAGGTTATGTTGTTAAGGGGGTGCTTCTAGTAGCACTTGTGCAACCGAGTCTAATGAAGCTGTGCAAACCCACCCTTTAAACCATTCCACCCGGCAGTATTCAGCTTCTTAACCAGCCGCTAGTTATTTAGGCAAAAAAAAACCCTGCTAGTTAGGCCATCGACAAGCATTCTTTTTATATTTCTTCCAGTATAATAAATTATTGATATCATTGCTGACTTTTATATTATGGGAGGGAAAAAAAATAACATTAATAAAAAGGTGATAAAAAGCACTGTTTCTATTTTTTTCTTTTTTTCCAAAAAAAGAAAGTAATAAAAACTTAAATTCTTTGTACCAGTTAAAAAAAAAATGTATAAAATTTACATCTGTGCAGTGGAGTTGTTAAGTTCTAGAAACAGTCTATGAAGCTTTAGTTTTAGCCTAAGTAGAACAACTGTTAGAGACAGACGTATAATTTTTATGGAATTACAATGATAATCATATTCGGATTTATAGAAGCATTTTACAAGTATTGCAATCATTGAGTAGAGATAATCATGGTATTTTCATCAGCTTGGTACTTTTTCAAACATGACTGCGTTGTGTGAGCAATCTGCAATTTTTCGGTCTGTGAGAGCCTGCCCTTCCACCTGCCCCCATTGCCCAAGGACTATCTCAAACCAGTTGTCTATAGTTCTGTCTGCAAGGCCCAGGACATTTGTCAGAAGGAAGCAAAAAAAAAAAAAAAGTACATCCACCTTCTTCATCTCCGAAGAACAAAGTCCCGCCCCACCTTTCTCGGCTGCGGGGCCAGAGCGACACACCCGAAAAATTGCAGTTTGTCTGTATTACTCTGTTTGGACTCTTTCCACGTTGTCCTGTTTACAAGTTAACCTGAGTTGGGGTATCTGTCACGGGTCTTCCTGTTTTTGTATTTAAATAAAAAACACAGCAGCAAGCTGTCCCCGAGTAGTTTTGCTGCCATAGTTAAATCCTCATGTGTACAGTGCAGGCCCTACGGCTTGCACTTTAGTTATCAACTCACCGCTGTGAACCTGCCAATCCGCTGTAACAACTCTGCTTTAAAACAAAACCAAACAAAACTGAAAAAAAAAAAAAGTGTTTGTGATCCAGCTTTCTCTTGTCATCCTATGTGCATGCCGTAAGATCAGTTGGATATTAAACCATCAATAAAGTTTCACGAGATTTGAAAACAAAGTTTCTGTAGCTTCGATATCTAAGACAGATTATCGTTCTCTTAAAAAGAGAAAAAAAAAACCAAAAGGGGGGGAAACTGCTTAGAAGCCAGAAGCATATAAAATGTTCTTTTCACCAAACTAATTTGGGTGGGGGAGGGGAGGGGCAAGGGGGTGTTTTATGGCATCACCAAGACAGACATTCTCATTCCCCCTCCTGGAAAACGAGGTTATGACAGTGGGTGCCTGGTTGATGTTCTTAAAGGAAATACATCATTAAGATGCCGTGGCATCCCACTCCGGAGGGGAGAAAGAGAGTGGGAACAGGCGGCTAAGGGAGAATACATAGATTTCTCTCAATTGCCTCAGATTTCAAAATCCAGAATTTACATTGTGTTTGGAATCACAAACATAGACTTCTTACTGTGTTGGTTAAAGTAAAATTCATTTGCAGTTTTGATTTTCATCAATGAGCTGTACTTTCCCCCATGACTGTGTGTAGTTTTAATAAAATCATTTAGAGCAAGTGGGTGCCAACTGATGTTACAGAATCTTTTGTCTAGGCACTCCTCCAAGATGCCAATAAGTCATTTTAAAATGTATGTCAGAAATGTAAACAAACATTTTGGATTTTTTTAAACAGTAATTATTTGGAATGTTTTCATTTATCTAAATAACTATTGCTATTATGAATTATGGAAAAAAGATTAATATCATGTGTGGCATATAGTGACTTCTTAACACACACATCACGCAATCTGCAAACCCAGAAAAATGTGTATATCTGTCTTTAGAAATTAGTGTTTATATCACTTACAGTGGTTTGTGAATAAAGAAAACTGGTTTGTAATATCAAAAAAATAAAAGCTTAGTCTGAAAAGGTATATGTGAGTTGGTGTTCTGAATTCTTTTGCTTCTGTGAGTGAGTTTCTTCAGGGGGTAGATTCGTGATCCGCACAAGCGACCGCGTTTGTGCCCACCAGGGGGTGCGGGGTGGGCACTGCCCAGGTGAGTGGTAGACTGCCCCACCCACCAGCACCCAGGTGCCTCCTGCAGGTGCCTGGGTTTTCTGGTTCAGAGGGCTTCTCTTCCTTGCTCATCTTTCTGAGGAAGTCAGTGGAACTAACCAGAATGTTTAAGAAAGAAATTGAACTAAGCTTAGCTATCCCCCCAGCATGGAAATGTCAATCTTCGGTTTAAAACAAAATGACAAGAAATTGTGTATTTCAAATAAATGAATATATGGCCAAGGCACTAACACTACTTTTTCGGAGACCTTGGATGAGGAAGATGAAAAAAATACTAAGTGCTAGAGTTGTTTCCATTCATTGAGTTATTATGAACCAAGAATACTGTGTTCTCTTATTCCTTTTTTCATTTACTCATTTACGAATTTTACCAGGGTTGAATTACCTACCCCATTTAGTTACTTGAGAATGTCTTAATCCTATCTCATTTACTTATCTTAATACTGCTAGCAAGTTGGTAACACACAGAGAGGGTGGAAAACTGTGGGGTCTGGAAGCAGATACTTTGAGTGCACTCCCTGATTCTGTCACTTGCTGGCTGCGACCCAGGGCAAGTTAAGCCAAAGCACTGTGCTACGAAGAGTTTATCTTTAAAAAATTTTATAATATGCATACATAAAGAGTGCAATGCGCACCACCTGAAGGATGGACATATTTGAAACTCGGACTTGGGGGGGAGGGGGTGGCAAGGGCAACATACGTAACCTAAACATCTGTACCCCCATAATAAGCTGAAATAAAAAAAAAATTTTATAATATTACAAGGATACAAATGTTTAGGTTACATATATTGCCTTTGCACTGTTCAAGTAGGAGTTACAAGCAAGGCCATGCCCCAGACAGACAGAGCGCACGGCACCCGTTAGGTGTGAGTTTACCCAACCCCTCCTCCCCTCTGCCCGACACTCGATAAATGTTGCTTCTGTACGTGCACATAAGTGTTGATCAGTTAGTACCAATTTGATGGTGAGTATATGTGGTGCGTGTTTTTCCATTCCCACAATACTTAGAAGAATGGGTTCCACCTGCATCCACGATAATACAAGAGGTAGTTCACCATTTTTTTTTTTTTTTTTTTATGGGTGAGTAGAACTCCGTGGTATACATATACCACATTTTGTTACTCCACTCATGGATTGATGGGCACTTGGGTTGTTTCCACATCTTTGCAATTGTGAATTGTGCTGCCATAAACATTCAAATGAAGATGGCTTTTTCATAGAATGTATTTTTTTTCCTTTGGGTAAGTACCCAGCAGTGGGGTTGCTAGATCAAATGGTATTTCTGCTTTTAGCTCTTTGAAGTATCTCCATACTACTTTCCATAGAGGTTGTACTAGCTTGCAGTCCCACCAGCAGTGTGAGTATCCGTGTCTTTCCACAGCCATGCCAACGTTTATCTAGGGCCACACAGCAAGCGACAAGGGTGGGACTCCAGAGTGTGCATCCTTAACCAAAATGGGATGTTCTCACCTGGCCAATGAGAACTTTCCACATGAGAAGTTCTACTCTGAGTGCCACTGTCTCCCAGTCCTCTCCACACTGCAGGTTGTCTTCATAGCAAAAATCATACCATTTCAAGCACATTTAATCATCCCTTCTCTGAAAACTCATCATATACAGGACTGCAGGTTAAAATCAACTTTTACTGTCCTGTGTCAGCTGATCCTTAAAGATAGTATCACCCTTATTTTATCAATGAAGACAATAAGGATCCAATAGGTCATTCGATTTGCCCAAAGTAATGTCCAGCGAGTGCAGAAAGCAAGTGCCACAGGAAGACCTGTCTGACCCCGAAGTCTGTGCCCTCTTCCAAAAATTTTGCTCCATTATTAACGATAGTGGTGGTAATGTTAAACTTGGGTTTCTAAGTACTCTCCTTACAAAAGGTACTAGCTTTATCCTCATAGGTGATAAGGAGTTTCTTAAAATATAGGTTTATAAATGAACTCCTTCCCCACTAAGTATGAGGCTATAACTGCAGATAACAAAAACAATAGTTTACATTAGAATCTCCAAAAGCAGACCCACCTAAAATAGAGATACGCATATACATTTCATGTGATGTAAAGAAAATTAAAATGATGGCAGAAGGGAACAGTTTCTTAAAAGACTCGACCAGTGGATGCAAATATTTGTCATCCTACTCCCGTCCTCCACCCGGAGTGTGGGCAGAGGTGAGAAAATAAGCCCCAAGGAAGCCCATATGTGACGCATATGCTTTGCACATAAATAGAGGCTGTTATTTATTTTTCTGCGGACAATTTCCGAGAGGTAGCCATAACCTCATTTCACCTATAATGCATTTCTTAAAATATTTTAATTAAACAGAAAAACCATTTCCATGTAAAAAATAAAACATTACAGATTTACAATTCAAAAGCTTGGACCACTATCTTAATCCCAATTTCCTACTATACACCCAGACAGCCTTTATTATTTATGATGTCATCTGAAGGCTGTTTCCACTTCCTGGGGAGCAGTCACTTTTGAATTAAATGTAGTTCTAGATAGCATTCATGCATGCGCTCGCGTGTGCACACACAAGCAAAAGCATGTCACCGATGGGACTGTCCCTCCAAATGCTCCACAGACCTTCTCTTAGAACCTATTGAGCTTGTTGAAAGATTTCTGGACCCCTCTGCTTTTAGATTCCTGAGGTTAGATTCCACCATCATCTGGAAGATACCATCTTCTAGTGAACTTTGTGATCATGTTCATGCTTCATTCTTCTTGCAGATCTGACACTTGTTGACAGAGCCGACAAATGTGTGTCTGCATGCATGTGTGCGTGTGGGCTGCGTGTACACATATACACAAGCATGTACCTATATATTGAAGTGTATTCTCAGCCTTTGTCACAACAATCTGTAATTATTTTTTCACTAACTTCAAGAACTAGGATTAAAGATAATATTCTCATAAGGGAAGAGAGAAAACAGTCATTTTTGTTGGAAAACTTACAAAAGCTCATTTTGGAGGGGATCCTTATTTTTTTATTCATACTGGGTCATACGCATCTTATATATCTGAGAGATTTGCATAGATATTCACAAGGTGCAGAATTTTCTGAAGGGTCTGAAATTCTCATTGTGCAATTGCTCAGGATTCAACCTGATGCTGGATATTGGACCAAGGACCAGCTTAGTTCACAGCATAGAGAGAGTCCTTCAGCTCGTGAGTAAAATCAGGGCTTCCCATCACGGCCATTTGCAATTTCAGGGGAGGTAGATTTGGGGGTTATAGAAACAGTTGGCCCCTTGGCCGTTTTGAAACATCTCCTGGGAGAGCCCAGTCCTACCGCGTACGCTGTGTGCTCATCACCCTTTGGAAAACTGAAGAGGCAGCAAAACTGTGCCTCTGTGGTCTGGACAAGGAAGGCTGCTCTGACCACGGATAATCTTGCCCGAAGAAGGGAATTTACCAACTATCTCAAAAGGGAAATATTTTCTGGGTAGCAAGGTGGTATTGTGATGAAAATATTGAGCATTCTTTTAAAACTAATAGTGTCATTTCCTAAAGGGAACAAGTGTGGTAGCTTGCATTGAGAATAAAACAAATAATGATAATAATAGCAGCTAACATTGTTTAAATGCATGGCCAGGCACACCGCAAAACACACATACTTAATCTATATGTATATTTATATGCACATAAATGTCTATGATCTGTATATAAGAGGCATTTAGAACATCTCCTAACCTGTGTGTGTCAGTTACCTCATCTATAAAATGGGGATAATAACAGCACCTAATCATAGGGTTCTTATGATAATGAGATGCATAAAAACATGCAAAGCACTTAGCCTAGCATAAAGCGCTTAGCCTCATATATTAAATTTTTTCCTTTCAATTATAAATCATTACTATATACATATATATAATGTATTATACATATATCCATATATATTTTATGGATTCAAATTATATAAAAATCAAATGATATATATTCCTTATCTATATGATGTATACTACATGCTATGTTTATATAGAGAGCTATATACAATTGTATACATCTAAAATAAGTCTCTTTCTATGCACACATGGTTACCAAATGTTTTTTAATATGTTTTATTTTGTGCACTAACGTAACTACAATATATACATTGCTGCACCATAAATATTTATGCTAATTCTTATAGAGCACTTAGATACTGATAGAGTAAGCAACCACCAAATGGCACTGATTCCCATTATTATCATTATTATCTCACTTAATCCTCACAGCCTGACAGGGTAGGTCCTACTGTCGCCTCCATGTACCCGGAAGGAATCAGAAGTTCAAGCAAGGCTGGCAACATGCCCAGCGTATGAAGTGGTAGAACTGAGTTGTGGGCGTCGGCTGTCTAACCCCAGAGTTGTTGCAGCTACGTGCTAGACACCACTTAACATATATCCTGGTACTTAATCCTCGCAGCAGCCCAGGTAAGCAATTTGCCCCACGTCACAAGGTTTAGAAGCATTTGAGCTAGGAACCCATGGTTTTTTCCTTTGCTGCACACTGTACTCAGAGGTCTGGCTTTAAGAACTGCCTGGTGAGCAGTTGTTTAGACGGTGGGTGTCATGAGGGCTCTGGGGTCCACCTTTGAGAGTGCAGCCCACCCCTCCTGTGATTATTCGTCATGAAACCGAGGGTGTGCCCGTGACGTTGACATCCGACCTCCCTGACTGAAACAGACAGATGGTGTGTTGCCTGAATGAAGCAAAAAGTCAGTGAGCACAGGAGAATTCCCCAGGCTCAAAAAAAAAAAAGAAAAGAAAAGAAAAGGAAAAATAATGGCTGCAGGTAGAAAATAGAAGAGCAGAGACCCAAGAAGTAGGGTAATGGTGGCGCTGCAGGCAGGTGATGGTTGCGG